TAAAGTGTGCATTTGTGTGAGAGAACTTCGTCAGCAGGACACAAGACAAAGGTTTCCAGCTGTGCACAGGTCAGCAGGTAAATGTGGTTGAAGAAGGGGCTTTATGCTAAAACAAGAAACTGAAGATGCCAATGGAAGACTGCTGAAAAGCTCTGGGATCTGACCACGCGGGGACTGCCAAGAGACTGGACTTTTCCTTCTTGGACAGCTGGTGAGAAAATGCCACTGAGAAAATGTCCCCACATCTGAGGACTAGGTCCCTCTCACTGTGACCTGGTCTGTCCACACAAATCTCATTGCTTAAGGACACAAACCTCAAACAATCTACTCTCAGGAAAACAAAACTATGCTGTAAGGGAGAAAAGGGTTGCACCTAATGAAGGCAGGTAGATAAAAAAATAAAAAGGCCCCCATGGTAATGGAATTCTTAGGGAGTAATAAAATCAATAGAATCAATAGCCCAAGGCTGCAAAAGGCCCATTTTGCAGACATGGGAACTGATAAGACTTCACCAGGTGCCAATAGACCCAGAGAAGCTGGACCTTGAGAGAAGCTCCAGCAAGAACAAAGGCCAGAAAAGTAATTTCAAAGAAGACCAATGGCTCCCATTCTACTCCCTTGGCAACCACCCTAGCAATGGATTCTTACCTTAGGTAAAAGCCCTATGTGGGTCACCTTGGGAAAAACCTTCTAAACTTGACCTTGAACAAAGGAAGTGCATGCATATGCTGCCAAAGCTCTTGTGCTGCTTGTGCCCATGTGGCTGAGCACTTGTGGTGCCCAAGCACATGTGTTTCCCACCTTTCCCCTCTTGAGATGTGTACTGGGGCTCTCTCCATCCTTGGGGAAGCCCGCGATTCTCTCTTGAGTGTATTACTCTCTCTCCCTTTCTCTTCCTTCTTTTCCTTCCTCAAAGCCTCCAAATAAAACCTGTTCTTTACCACACTAGTAGTCTCCTCCTGAAATTTTTTTCTGTGAGATAGGACAAAGATCAGAATCTCTGGGTGAGGCCTAGGACTGACTTTTTTTCCTGCATAGAGCAATTCCTCGCTCTAGCCTGAGTCCAAGACTCTCAGAGAAATTGGGTGGTGGGGATTAACTTCCCTATTGAGAAGGTTAAGTGAACGTCAAGTGTGGCTTGATGGTGAGGCTCTGTCCAGTGCCCAGCAGGGGTTTATCACAGACTTTATCAGTTCTAGTCTTCCTAGCTGGTCCAGGGGTAGGAGAGCCCGGTTGGGAGAAAGTGACCATCTCTCTCCTCTCTGCCTCACATAAGCCACCTTTTGGGGCCCACCAACTTCACTCCAGCTCAACCCAATATTATTTATTCACCCATAGTCCTAGGGCATAGTATTACTCTCCTTAGAGCATCTCCTCAATAGGTTCTTTCTTTTGCAAACTGTTTCTATCACCTGACTTAGTGATGTCTGGGCTCAAACTGGAAAGATAGTAGAGTGGTTAGGGCTCTTGCCTTGTACAAGGCTGACTTGGGTTTGCTCCCTGGAACCCCATAGAGTCCCTTGACCCCACAAGGAGTGATTCATGGGCTCAGAACCAGGAGTAATCCCTAAGCACTGCTGGGTGAGGGCCAAAAAAACAAGGAAGAAAAATGTCTAGGCTGATGATTTTAGGACATTGATGCAAACTCTCCTTTTTGTGAAATGTTTGCATGAAAGTAGAGACAAAAATGATTCTGACTATCCCTGTTTGTGTTTTTACCTCTGTTCTTCTAATGTTTAATTTTTTATTGTTATTGTTCTGTGGCAGTACTGGGGGGCCATGGAGGGCCAGGGATGAAACCTAAGGCCTCATACATGCAAAGCATGTGTTCTATCAGTGAGCTCTCTCTCTCTGGTCCTATATAGCCTTCTTTTTCTTCCCTGGCTGTAGCATCTGGCAAGGGTATAAAGAATTCCTGCCCTGTCCTTCCCTGCCCTTTGTTTTGGGGCCATACCCGTGGTGCTTAGGGCTTATTCCTAGCCCTGTGCTCAGAGATCAGTCCTGAAAGAGTTTGGAAGACTATATGTGGTACTCAGGATTGAACCCAGGTGGGATGTGTGCAAGCAAGCACCTGAGCCATTGTATTATTACTCTGGAACTATAATATATAAGGATTTCTCTGAAAAGTCAGACATAAGTCACTGAGTAATTCATACAGGCATTTGGAATCTAAGGCTGACATTTAGATCATTTGCTAGCATGTGTGTGTGTGTGTGTGTGTGTGTGTGTGTGTGTGTGTGTGTGTTTTCCTTGAAGATCTTAAAGAGATCTGGATTGTGTGGAAAAATACCATCCTAAACCTCAAATTTCCCAAGAGGATACCAACCAGCCAGTTGGATTGGGGAACAAACCAAGGCAATCAATGAGTTCAAGTGAGATCTCCTATTCCATGCCTCCCTGTGTCTATGCTTCGATCCTCAGGATTTGCCATTTAAACTGCCAGAACATCGTAAGTGTTGTCAGGACAGTTTAGGTTACCAGAAGATAAACACAGATATAAAAGCAATAACCTCGTTTCAGTGGGTAACATAAGATAAGGTGGGTCAGTTTTATGGTGGTGAAGACAATTGTATATTAGCATAGTCCATTTCTTTTTTAAAAGCAAAAAATTATACCTCTCTACTTTGTTCTCATTAGTTTAAAAAAGCATATCTTAAAGCTTGAGGTTAAAAAAAAAAGCCTTGTTTCCAGTCCCTTTGAATTTTGCTAGGGTTTATCATTCATAGGAACTCTTGAATAAATGGCAACATTTTTGAAAAACTCCTGATCTGGATTAACTCCCTTTAGAAACAAGCAAGAAAACAAACAAACATAAAGAGGCACCATAATTTATAATACTGGTCAGTGATGGGGTTTCATGCATCCAACAGTTCAGCACGACACCCTCCACCAATGTCCTCTTCCCTCCACCACTGAAACTAGCTCCGCCCTGAGCAACCTGGGATACCCACCAAGAATATCTTCCTCATTATGGATCTCAGTTCAACAACTTGGAAATTGTCTTTGAATTTCTAAATTACAAAGTTATTCATGATTTAGTTTTAGCCATTCAATGTAGAAACACTATTCTTAATTATTTGGGAGGGGGGAGGTTAAAGAAACATGATTTAAAAGTTAATTGAGAGTTATGTTTTAAGTATACAATACTCTATTGCCAATCCCACCACCAATGTCAACATCCCCCCACCAGTGTTCCCAAGTGCCTCCCCTCCCCCTCCAGCCACCACCTCGACAGGCACATTATAAAGTTTGATGGTTGTAGCTTGGATTTTGTAACACTGTAGCACTGTCCTCCCATTGTTCATCCATTTGCTCAGAGCCGGCACCAGTAACATCTCCATTGTGAGACTTGTTGTTACTGTTTTTGACATATTGAATATGCCACGGGTATCATAGAAACAATTTTTTAAAGGACCCAAATAAAGTTGGAAAGAACCTTACTTGAAGCTAAAAATTATCAGCCAGAGCAATAATACAGCAGCTGGGGCATTTGCCTTGAATGTAGCTGACCCAAGTTCAATCTCAGTCATCATACATGGTCCTCCGAGCACTGCCAGCAGTGATTCCTGAGTGCAAAACCAGGACTAACCCCTGCAGAGCCAAGACTAACCCCTGAGCATCGCCAGGTGTGACCCACCCACCCACCCTCCCCCCCAAAAAAAAGAAAAAAGAAAAAAATGAATAAAGAAAAAAATTTCCAGCCTAAAAATTCAAAGCAAGTCCTTCTGCATCCTTGCCCACCACCTCCTGCCCCCACCAATGGGTGTCAGAGGAGCCTGGACTGGAACTTTGGTGTTAGCCTCAGCCTTCCTGGGCTACTGCTCTGTGTCGACCTTGTGTCATTTTCTGATTTATGCAAAATGAACCTTAAAGTTCACATTTACATCAGCAAATAAGGGTCAAAGAATCTGACTCTTATCCCAATCTTTACCTTGTTTTAGTCTGGTCAGAATTTCATCTGATGTTAAAAAACTTAAAGGCTTTTCTTTGGTTGCTGTTGTTACTATTTAGGGCACTATCCCCAGGAGGACCAATCATAATTTAAATGCAAAAGGAGGCATGAAAATGATACAAAACCGATCAAGTGATCTGGAACAAGTCATCCCACCTTGAAATGACTTTCCGTCTATGGAAGGGGGTGTGTGTGTATGTGGTGGAGGGAAGGTAAGTGCCCCCTAGGTAATTTTTTAAGAGTTTTAAAATGCTGCTAGTTAAAATTCAAGGCAGTTAGTGGGGGGTTAAAGGGGTAGGGATGTGAAATCTCTGAGCTGCAGTTATACATACCTGAGAAACTCTTCTTGGGAAAAACCAACACAAATTCCACTGAAAGACTCAGTTTCCCCTTGTCAGATGCGGTGAGCAGTCCCATATTTGACTACCCCTCCTCCATCCTTCATTTTTTTTCTTTTCTTTTTCCATTCTACATTTTAAGAACTGCTGCCAATTCCTGGGCTCTTTCTGATAAATTGAAAGTTAACAATTCCCCAGGATCAAAGATTCTGCCCCAGGCCTAAGCTCATCAAAACAGACAATGGATGATACCAAAAGTCAATGCCCAGACAGATAACCCAAGAGGCCTGGAGCTAGCCGGACCACCCAGTGTAATTCTTGGATTTTCCGTAAACATTATGTGTCTCTTGATAAGTAAAACCAAGGCTCAGTTTTCCTATAAAAATCTACACAAATAAACAAATAAGATAGTCATATTTAACTTAGTCCTATCCGAAGTTCCTTCCCAGCTAGGGAGTTTCTTTTCCTTACCCTTCTTCTTTCCGATAAACCTGATACCAACGCTGAGCATCTCTCTTACTCACTATTTTCACTCTTGAAAATACCGAACCCCTAGGAACACAGAGACCAACACAGAGACCCGCTGTCATCGCTCCTGCCTAACCACCCATGACGCGCAAAATATAAAAGGAAAGAGGCAGGTTTGGGGCGCTGATCTATTCTCGGAAGACACCCTGCCCCGCTTGCAGCTCAAGGCAGGTGACAGGTGAAGTCCTGACCGAGGTAAACAGGCAGGGCAAGAGTGGGGACAGACAGAACACAGCAGCCCGGGGCGCGCGCGTCCCGGCGGGGCCCCCGAACCCTCTCCCCGCCACCCCGGAGCCCGGGGCCCGCGCAGCCTTCCAGATCCTTCCCGGGCCGCTCCTCCTCCCGCGTTCCCCGCTCGGGGCCGCTTCCCCGCCCCCGCGCCGCCGCATTGGCCGCTGCGGCAGGGACGCGACACGGGCGGCGGCCGCGACCCGGAGCTCGGGGTGGCCCGAGCAGCCCGCTGTCCCCGGCGCGCACCCACCCATGGCCCTCGGGCCGCCGCCGCGCCCCGTCCCGTGCGCTGCTGCCGCCGCCCGCCTGCGGCGCGATGCCCACCGGCCCGGGTCTGGACCAGGCGCTGAGGATGCCGCTGGCGCGGAGGTCGCGGATCGGCTCGTCCGTGGGTGAGACGCGGGAGGGCGGCGGCGGGGGGCGGGGGGACCGCGCCGTTATGTGACACCGCCCCGCCCTCCGCCTCTCCCGGGGCCGCAATCCCGGGGGTGGGGTGGGCGCCGCTGCACCTGCGACGCCGAACTCCCGCGAGCGGGGCGGGGCGCGGCGGAGATCCCCTCCCACCCAACCCCACACGCCGGGACCACCCCTGGGCCAGCTGTGCACACGCACGGTGCGCGCTGTTCTGTGCGGACGGGCCCATGTCCCTGTGAGCGCATCCCCAGGTCCGCGCGCGTGCCCGTGCCTATGTGAGCGCGTCCCAAGGTCCGTGCGCGTGCCCGTGCCCATGTGAGCGCGTCTCCCGGTCCGCGCGCTCGCGCTCGGGTCCTTCTGCGCGCGCGCCCGTGCCAGCACGTGCCCGTGTGCGCTTGCGCCCGTGCGCGCGCCACGCGCCTACGCGAGGCCAAGGCGGCGGGTGGGACCCGGGTCGCGGTGCCCGCCCGGCCCCGGGCGCGGTGGCCCCGTCTGGCCGGCGCGGAGAGACGGCGTCAGTTCCCAGGTGGTCGTCTGCCTAGGCCAGGAGGCGTCCGCTGCAGATCGCAGAGGGGGCCGAGGGGTGTCGCCGCGCGCACTGGTCACCCGCCAAGGCCCGAGGCCGCAGCGGCGCGCTAGGTCGCGACCCCTCGCCAGGTGCCCCCAGGTCGGCTGACCCGAGACGCCTGGTACACCCGGCCGGCCCCGCCTGCGCCCAGGTTGCGTGGGGCTCCAGACCCTTGACACCCAGACCTCCAGGGCCGCGCCCGCCCGCCCACTCAGGTTAGACGCCGGGTTTTGTCACTACCATAACCGCCCCCAGACCCACGTCGTTTCGCGCCGGGTTCTGCGAGGATGGCACACGACTGTGCTCGGGCGCCAAAGGGGCGAGCTGGACCCAGACCCCTTCGGGGCTCCTGTGCTGTCGGGGGCCGGTGCGGTTCGCCCCGCCTGTTCTCTGCCCCAGCAGAGGTGCGTCCTGATCCCCCTGGACTTGTCCTGCGGGTGTCAGAGAGTCCTGCGGGGGAAGTCGCAGTCCGTCGGGTCTTCATGTCCGGGTTTCCAGGAGCCTGAGCCTTGTGAGAGCATCGGCCGTTTTCCTGCGGGAGGCCCCACTGTGCAGTCAGGGGGCGCTGGTGGGCCGGCGCGAATGGTCCAGCAGGTTGGTGGGCACAGCCCACAGGATTTGTCCCCGCACGTGGACGTGAGGCCTAGGCGCAGAGATCTGGGGTAGGGAGAACAGTGGACCACACCCCGCCCCCCGCTGTCTTAGGGAGGAGGGTCTGGATTCTAGTTCCAAGACCATGAGAGCTGGGTGTGCCCAGACAGGCTCTCAGGGGTCTTCGTCCCACTGAATGCGCAGCCCCGCTGCTGCCCGGGCTACTCCTGGCGAAGATGTGCCCTTCTGGACGCTTCGCCTGGCTTTGGAAAAGGGGAAACTCTGCCCTTCCCATTCCCCCACTGACTTGGCCCAATGGCATGAGCGGCGTGTGTCACGTGGCAAGAAGGAGGCGTTGTCATCGCCGTCAAGGTCAGAGAGATGAGGACCAGCTGAGCTGCTTGATCCTGGAATCCCGAGTCAGGGAAGACGTGATCTTTGGGGCCTAGATGGCTTAGGACATGACTTAGGACACGAGCCTCGCATCCGGACATTCCCCAGTTCCAGTTCCCCCCAGCAAGGTCTCCAGAGCACTACCCCCTCCCCCCTCTCCGGGATGATCCCTGATCCCTCCCTAAGCTCGAGCCAGGCCTAAGTCCTCAGCACTGCCAGGTGTGACCCCAACACACACACACACACACACACACACACACACACACACACACACACACACACACACCCCATGTCGTCTCGATTGTGGAGATGATTAGTTAGTGACCTTGGAAAGGGCTGTTTTTTATGTAATCATATACAGAATAAAAAAATGTCTAGAAATCTATGGATGGGCTTCTAGAGGGACTCAGTAGACGGAATGGGGGGTGGTCAGCATGTACAGGGAGCTCTTTAGGGAGTTTGGAAGAAAGGGTTGGGAAAGCAGATTGCGTGTTGGCAGGAGGAGATGAGTTCAAGAGAGGTTGTTTAATGCTAATATTACAGATGCAGAGTTGAGACTAATGTTGCATGTACAGTTAATGTTAATATTACAGGTGTACAGTTAAGACTAATCTTGCACGTGCACAATTAAGGCTGATAATGCACAGGTGTAGTTAATGCCAATGTTGTACATGTACAGTTAAAGCTAAAATAGCAGGTGTGCAGTTAATTCTAATATCGTATATGAACTTATATATTGCATTATATTGCATTACTATTGCAGCTGTGCAATTAGTGCTACTATAACAGCTGTGCATTTAATGCTGATATTGCAGGTGTGCAGGGAGGGACAGGAGGGACAGTGATCTGGTTCACAAAGGGAAGAGGCCCCCAGGGAGCCTCTCTGCCCCTGGATGCAGAGAGCTCACTGAGGGCGGGCTGCAGGCCTGCAGGAGTAGAAGTCATCAAGAAAGAAAGAAGGCTCCTAAGAGCCGTGAGACTATTTCGGGTCTATTCCTGCTGTGTTGAGGAGTAGGAGCTCCTGGGTCTGATGTGTGCAAACTTGGGGGAAGCCTCTTAGGCTTAGATGGTGATGACCTAGCAGAGGGCTGGAGCAGTGAGTGTTCCAAGTGACAGGGTCTGCTTAGATTCTAGAGGCTTGCTAGTTCAGGAGTGCCCTAGGCTCTGGAATCTTCCTTCTGCTTGATTCAAATGTAGTGGTGCCGGGACTGGAACATCACCATCCGCAGCACCAGCTCTCCAAGCTCTGAGCACCTTCATACCTTTTGAGAAATATCTTGTCCCTTTGGAATTATGTCCTCCAAATGGGTATGATTTGCAGACCACGCCTGGCATTGCTGTGGGGCTACTCCTGGCCCAGTGCTTGCAATTTGCTCCCTGTGTAGGATCCAATCCAGGCCTCCCAACTGCAAAACATGTACTTTAGCCCTTTGAGCAATCCCCCAGCCCCTATGCATAGGGTTTTCAAAACTCTTTAAATATTTTTTAAATTAAAAAATTAAAAAAAATTGCAATACCACCCATGCTATTGCTTTATACTGCAGTGCCGTGACACCTGGCCCACCACCAGTGTCAAGGTTCCTCCCAGTTACCCCAAGATCCCATCTCCCTGCCTGCCCCGCTTCAAGTCCTCAAGATCACAGTTATATTTGTGACCTCATATCGGGGTTTGTTTCCACTGGGGTTGTCTAGCGTCTGGCTGTGTTTCTTTAATACTCTGCACATGAGCAAGATCATCTGGTGTTTTGTTGTTTTCTTTCAGATTCATTTTCCCTAGCGTGACACTCTCCAGTTCTAGTCAACTTGTGGGAAACTACAAAATTTCAGGGGTAAGCCCTGAGCATCACTGGGTGTGCCCCTACCCTAATGCCAAAAACAGAAGAAGATGCTCAGGGCTTACCCCTGACTCTGCACTCAGGGATCACTCCTGATAGTGCTGGGGCTGGGGGATAGGGGGTGGAGAGATGACCATATGGGATGCCAGTGATCAAACTGGGGTTTGCAAGGCAAACATCCTACCTGCTGTACTGTTGCTCTAGCCATATACCACAACTTATATACTACAACTTCTTTATCTCCTCATCTGTTGTTGGGTACTTGGGTTATTTCCAGATCTTGACTATTATAAATAATCCTGCTATGAACATAGATGCATAAGTGTATGTTTATATGGCCTTTGCATTAATGATTTTGTGTTTTGGGTAAGATACCCAGGATTGGAACTGCAGAGCATATGAAAGCTCTATTCCTAATTTTTTGAGAATCTTCAAACTGTGATTACTCTGTTTTTAAAAAGCCTCTTATTGAAAAAAAACAGAGAAATGTCCTATTGTAATTTAGATTAAGTCTTCATTCAGCTTATAGGTTCATCTGGAGAGAAAATGCATTTTTAAGAATGTCGATTCTTACCTAAAAATGTGGTATCTCATATAGTTTTAAAAATGCTTTTAAAAATCAAAGTGTTATAGTTTTCTTCATGAAACTTTCATGCATTTAAAATATCTGTTCCAAGTCACTGGCACTACAATAAATGGACTTTTCAAAGTTACATTTTTAGTCAGTTGGTGTGGTACCTAGGGAAGCTTTAGTTTTTAACTGTTGATTGTGTATCCAGCAACCTGGTGAGCTATTATATAAATTAGGACATAATACATGAATTTTGTTATTTTGGGGGGATTAACAATTCTCATTGTCTACAAGTTAATTTTCCCTTCCTACCTCTCTTCCCCCCTTCCTCCCTTCTTCCTTCTTTCCTTGTCAATCTTCAGAGGCTACTCCTGGCTTGGAGTCTGAGGGTTGCTCTGGGCGTTGCTCACAGGACCATGCCGTGCTAGGGATTGAAATCATTCCTCCAACATGCAAAGCCTATACTCTAGCCCATTGAGCTATTTCTTCAGTCTCTGTATCTTTCTTTAAATTGTTATAGCTCTTATTTATTCTTATTTGATTATAATTTCTTGTTCCACTAATAGAAGTTTTCTTTTGTCTCAGAACATGAAAGTCAATACTTCCAGAATTTTATGTTGAGCATGGTATTTCTGGTTGGCATTTAGTAGCTATTCTGTACAAAGAAAGTACTTTTCTGTTCTTACCTGGTACTTCATTAGGAGCAGGTACTATTTTATTGTGCACCTTAAGACAATCATCAGGGAGTAGGAAAATTATTAAAGACAGCTGACTGGTTGCGGGATTTCTCCCTGTCCTCCCTGTCCTCTGCCAACCTTTGTGTTCAAGAAAAAGTGAGTCATTGCACACCTATCAACCAGAACAGCTAGCGATATTGCCAAATGCCAGCAAGGATGCAGAGAAATTGGATGACTCATGCATTGCTGCTGCTGATACAAAGAGATGCATCCTTTTGGCAGGGTGGTGGGCAGTTTCTGAAAACATGAAATGTGCAACTTCCTCATAACAAAGATCTACTTT